TAGGAGCATCATGAGTATATAGATTTTTTTTTGTCTTTGTTAAATGTTTATTTTTTTTAATTTAAAATTTTTATTAGTTATGTATTGGCAGTGTGTATGACTATATTCACTATGGGGAGTTGGTATATGTATATAACACATCATAATTTTGTTTTACTTCTCCCCTCACCTTTTTTTCCCTTAGATAATCCTCAGTTGTAGAGGAATCATATCTGTATTTTAGTTTGTTTCAGTTTGTAGCATAGTTTTCTTTTTCAATTAAAAACTCTTTTATTGTAACAAGAGTAACACATGTACATTGTTGAAAGTTAGAAAATATAACTGAGCCTGGGAAAGGTGCTGAGGAGGAAAGGGTGGAGAAAGGATGGTTGATAGGTGCAGGGATACAATTGGATAGGAAGAATCACTTTTAATGTACCATAGCACAGTGGGATAACTATGGTAGACAACAATTAATTGTGTATTTCAAAAATAGCTGGGAAGATTTTAAATGTTCCCAACACCCCTCTGACCATTACACATTGTACACATATATTGAAATGGCACAGTATACCTCATAAATACATGTAATTATTATGTGTTGATTATAAATGTATTGGAAAGAAAGTTAGAAAGTATTCATAAGCAAGAATTTCCCCAGTTGTGCTTACCAGGTGCAGTGTGGCTCCCATATCTTACCTGGTTGTTAGGATTATTGTACCCATAATGCTAACTTACTGAAGAGGCTGGGCTGGTTGCACTGCAGAATGTTCTACTTTCTGGACTTCTGTAGCAATTCCCTTTGTGGTGGTGGTTAGCTTGTTCCTCTATCCTCACATTACTTACAAACTGAAAATTAGATCTAAAGTCTTGCATGTTTTAAAATACATGATAGCATACATCCTAGGTCATGTATATTTCTAATTACAGTTTGTTAGGACACAAACAGTATTTGGTTGACCTACCACCATTGATGCTAGATTGACTGCTGGGTTACATTCCCTTCTTTGAACTGGAAAATAGCCTGCATGATGTTATTTTGGTACCAGATGAAATCAGGATAGCTTCCACACATGTTTTATGTCTTTCCTGGAGTTATATTTGCCTTTTTTTTCTCTTGTTGAGAGAAGAAAAATTTACCTTCATCATATCCCTAAGAGTTTTAACTGTTCTTTTGATTTTATATGTGGAGATGAATCCATTCCATTCTTCCTGTGGATGCTCTCAGAACCACAAACTTTGAGATCTAATTTCTACTAATTGCCTTCTAGAGTTGGTATCGAGTGTATCCTGGGCTTTCTTTCAATTATTCTACTTTGGGGTCAACTCCACCTCCTAAAAATATCCCATTGTATCATTTTATTTTCTGTATTGGTTTGTTTTCTGTCTCTTTTTTTCCTTTTCTCATATATTTTCCCCCATTTCTGAGATTTTTAATGTATAAAAAGGACTATTTTCCTTTTATATTTGCTTAATAGTTTGGGAATAGAGATCTATGTTTTTGTGAAATGCAAGGAAGAGGAAGTCAGTGATACAATTTGGCTAAGTCTCAGTTTTCCCCTCTGTGAAATGGGGTGATGATACCTGTGCCAGCTTGGGCTCCCTAGATGACTGGGTTTCCAAGCAAGTGGGTGGGATGTGTATGAGTGAGTGCTGTTGGGCTCACAATGTGGGTGGAATCCAGGTGCAGACTTGGGCTGTGAAGCAGTCACAAGATGCCTCAGTTGATCCTGAAGGAGCTTTGGAGCTAGAGTGACGTAGCAGAGAGGCCCCCAGTTGAATCAAGGGAGCTGGGTCTTTTTTCCCTCCTTCAGGTCGAGGAGACCTGACAGAACTGGCTGGCGGCCAGCACTCCCAGCAGCTGGGGACGAGTGCTTTGATCTTGCAGGAATTGAGTCCCGGCAGTGCAGCCAGTATCCCCGGCCACTCACAGGACCTGTGTGGAGCAGGCCCCAGGAAGTGGCAACTTAAAAGAGGGAGGTTGTGTTTGTTTCCTGAGACTTGTTTAGCTTTGTAGACCTGATATAAATATTTGAAAATACAGTCAGCTCTCCATATCCTTGGATTCCATATCTATAGATCCAACCAGCCATGATGGGGAAAAAGAAAAAGACTACAGAAAGCAGAAACCAAGACTTAAACATGTCATGTGCTGACCACCAAGCCCATGTGAATGAAGTGCTGTGTAGCACACCCTGCTGTAGCCTCTACGTTTCACAGATTCCCCACCTCTCTCCAGCATTGTTTGAGCACTGCTACCTGCCATGTTGTTCATGGACTTTGTAGTTAGGCCTATGATGGTTCTGTCTGTACTGAACATGCACAGCATCGTTTTTCTTGTCATTATTCCCTGAATAATACAGCAGAATAACTATTTATATCACATATACATTGTATTAGGTATTATAAGTAATTTAGAGATTATTTCATTTATACAGGAGGATATCTGTGTTATATGCAAATGTCTTGCCATTTTATATAAGGGACTTGAGCAGCTGTAGATTTTGGAATCCATGAGGTCCCGCAACCAAAACCCCTCCGACACCCCAGGGCCTTTGCACTGAGCTACATACTTGGCCCTTTTTAAAGTTTTTATTTTGAGACAGGATCTCACTAAGTTGTCCAGGTCAGACTCAAACTTGTATTCCTCCAGCCTTAGGCCTCCAGATTGCCTTGATTGCTGGTGAGTGACACCACACCTGACAGATAGTAGTGTGTTGTGATGAGAATCAAGGCAGCCTACCTGAAGATGCCAGTGGATCCATCTGGCTTCATAGTGGTCATGCGGATGAGGCAGTATCTCCAGGCTTTGTACTTTATTTCACTGCCCTTGTTGCTTAAAAGTGCAACTCTTACTTCTCACAGCAGCCCTATGGGGCAAACAATGTTATTATTTCCACGTTATAGATGAGTAAACTGAGGCACAGAATAAGGCTCTCAGCCCACAACTGGGAAAGGGTGGAGTTGGGGTTGGAGCTCAAGATCTGTCTCTGGGCCAGTGCCTTCAGTGACTTATGTGCTTATGGACCTGGCATTAGTTATTTGAAATGGGTAGAGGCATAAGCAAGTGTTTATATGAGTTTTACCTGGGGATGAGACTGAGTGCAGGGACCAGAAACCTAACCAGGGTTGAACATGCTACCACGAGTTTGTTATGGGGGTCCAAGGAACCTCCTGGAGTCAAGTTGCAGAAGGCACATCTGAGGCCCCTGGTTTTGCACACACCCACTCTGTCCTTCATCGCTGCCTCGTGCTCTTTGTGTCTAGCCCCGTCTTTGGTTTCTGTCTGCTGTTTCCACATCTGTTCCTGCACACATAGGCCAGAAATGGCTGTAGCCTGCACTGCTGCCTGTCACTGTCCACCCAGCCCTATTGCAGGCAGGGACCTGAGACACCTCATATCCCTGGGAAGGAACTGAGAGAGTTCTCCGAAGCCAACTGGGCAGAGCCCTTGGAGGCAGCATCCTTAAGATTAAGGTCCAAATCCTTTGTCATGTAGTTTATCCCCCTCCTACAGATGAGGAAACTGAGGCTCTGGGAGGTAGAGTGTGCCTAGCTGTGGAGGCTGGGCCTCTTCCACCACCCACTGTGGCTTTCAGCTCTTGTCACTGAAAGCAGCCTGCTTGCCCTTAGCTGGTGTGGGGCAGAAAGAACACCTGCTCCCCTCACCGCCTGGGCATTTCTTGAGTGATGACCACTCAGGGCAGTGCATGACTCCTAAGGCTTGGGGCCTGGATTCCAGACCATCAGGTTGTGCTGGGTCTCCTTGGAGGGTTCCAACCCCTGCTAGAGGTCACTAACTTGCCACTTTGTTTTTCTTTCCTGAAGCCGGGTGTTCAAGACAGACATGGAGCTGGAGGTTTTGCGCTACACCAATCGTATCTCCAGTGAGGCCCACAGGGAGGTGAGTTGTTACTGGCTGTGGCTGAGCAGTAGCATCTGCATGTGGGGCAGGAGAACTGCATGGGAAGGGCGGGGGATTTAGCTCAGTGGTTCTGCCACCTGCCCCACAAGCACAAGGACCCAAGTTTGATCCCCGGTACAAAAAAAAAAAGAGAGAACTGCATGGGGATGAATGGGCAAGTCTGGACCATGGGGGAGGGAGGACCATGAGGGAGGCAGAAAGTTTCTCACTTGACACTTTTTCCTAGTGGGCGCAGGGCAGGGACAGGAGAGGCTTTGCCCCAGCTGTTGAGCTTAGGGCACCCACCTTCATGAAAGTAGTGGACATTAATCCTGAAGGACTTTGCCTTCAGAAGGTCTCGAGTTCCAGGAGGGTAGGGCTCTCCTTCCTGTTAACCTGGCAGTTTCCAGTTCATTTTAAAGCATCTTTGTCCTTAACTAATCCCAGCACACTTAATTACCATCATGTGTTGTCTGAGTACATCTTCTCATGGTTGCTTCCAAATCTCCCACTTTACAGAGGAATGAGACCAAATAAAGTTTATATTTTTAATGCCAGTGGGGTGCCTGGGATAGCTCAGTTCCTGAGGTAGCCCAGTGTCTGCTCAGGGACCTTCAAGGCTCTGTGTTAGGAAATGGACAAAGGTGATTGATGGCTGTATAATCTCTTCTATGAGTTAATTTTCTCTTTGATAAAAGTCAGGCAAAGGAGACCTTTCAGAAATAGTCCTGACCACTTTCTTAGCTTTGGTTGTTTACCAGGCACATCTTGGTCAAATCTTTGCTGTGCTCAGCCTGCCTACTGCTTTCAAGCTGTAGCTCAGAGCTTGGCGTTTATTGGTTTCCAAATGGAAGTGCTCCATAGTGGTTTAAATAAACACTGTGGATTTGAGGGCATTTAAAAGTTCCAATTTGTCACATTTCTTCACCACTGTGTGCACATATCATTCCCCCTCCTTTTTTTCTTTAAGTGCTTCGTTTGCTGAAGTGCTATACATTATGTATAAGGCTGTGTTACTTACCTGCTTAATACAAATGTCTTTGCTTAATATCCATCCTCCAGGTAATGAAGGCTGTAAAAGTGGGAATGAAAGAATATGAGATGGAAAGGTAAGCTGTGTCTCTCTGGGTAAAGATTAAAATGTGAAAAACAGTAATTTATGTTCCCTAAGCAGGTAACAGATGAGACTCCGCAGTGCTGCATACAGATTGAGTAGGGATTAGGGGCCAGCTTTGGGGTCCTGGGCAGAGATTATTTTTCTTCTGGCCATGGCCACCTCCCTGGCTCTTGGCAGAGTGTTTGATGGTAATGGTCATTGATTACTTTTCTGGGTGGTTTAGTGCCCCATCTTTCCACTCTTGAACTTTGTTTCTGCAATTTGCAGGAAACTTTACCAAATAGCTGCTATTGTGAGCCTGAAAGCCACTAGTAAAACAGCTTGCCGTTTTTATGTATAAACACCTCCATTATGTCTACTGCGCTTGGAGGACTGGATGGAGGGCTGGTTAAGTGGATCATAAAGAGCTCTGGAGAGCTCCATTGGCCTTCGGCTCCAGTTAGGCCTACAGTGACCCAGTGCACCCAGGGGTGCTGGCTGGGGCTGCCCTGCCCTGGTGGGAATGGCCACCAGCTCAGCCTGCTCCAGGACCCAGGAGTCATCGGACTTCTACCCATGGCTCAGAGAGCCCTTGAGTCAGACCTACACTGCCCTAGGCACCCTCTTCCTCCATTTCCTGGATCTCTCACCAGTGACCACACCACCCAGAAGCTTTGGGGAGGGGACACTAAAGAGCTGCTATTCCACCTCCTGCCTGGCTCTGCAAGAGCTTGATTGCCACCACCTCCTCCCCACCTTGCAGGGCTCAAGTGTACCCGAGGTGCCCTCAGCTCTGTGTACAGCTGGCTGTGGGGGATGCTGGTTCTCATTGCTCTCTTTTATGGTTCTGATGTGATTTTCCCCAAGGGTTCATGTGTTGGGAGCTTGGTCCACAGCGTAGTGATGTGAGAGGTGGTGGGACCTTTAAGAGGTGGGGGTTAGTGGGGGCTCAGTCTTTGGGTCTTTGGGGGTCCTGCTGTCAGGATTAAGGTTGATCTTGTAAGTCCTGAGTTAGTTTTGAGAGAGGGTTGTGATAAAAACAGCAAGCCTAGCCCTACCCAGCTCTCCAGGATTCTGTCTGATAGTGTGGTCTCTTGTTCTTCTGCCTTGATGCTATCCACTGTTAGGCCCTCTCCAGAGACCCATCCAATGGGCTGCCTAACTGAATTTTCAGCCTCCAAAACTGAGCTAAACAAACTTGTTTTCTTTATAAAGTAGACTACCTTGGGTATTTTGTTACAGTAACAAAGAACAAACTCATACACCTGCCCAGCCCTTCTGACCTCCCTCCTGCATCAGTGTGGGGATGAAGGCCTATGTGTATGTGGGGTCAGCAGCATGGACATTGGCGTCCACATGGCTCTGGCTTGGGGATGGGGGTCTTTTTTCAGAGTCTTACCCTAAAAGGAGTTCTGAGCAATGAGCCTCCACCTTTCTCCCTTCATACCCCAGAAGTATGAGGTTAAAGTGACCTTGCCCTGCTACTGTGGCATCCTGGAGGGGACATGTAACAAATGTCCTCAGAGTCCTACCTGTGTCAGGCCAGGGCAGACACAGAAGGGCCTGTGGCAAAAAAAGCCCCAGTTTTTGCCTCCACCAGGTCTGCTGCAGAGGGGTCTGTGTGGTCTGGAACTCCCAGGGTCTCAGCCCCCTTGAGGAGATGGCAAGAGTATTGTGGGGCCACCCCAGCGCCTCAGATTGGCACTGCCCCAGAAACCTGTTCTCAGCTGAGTTGACTCATAGTGACCCATTGCCGATGCCACAAATAAAAGTAACCAAGAGATTGGAACAAGAATAGCTTGTCACAGCCATCTGCTGCATGCTGGCAGCCTCATGCCCTGAGCTGCAGGGGTTCCGGCTCTGGAGTGGCTCCTGAGCTGCCTCCCTCCATAGTGTCCCCAAGCCCAACCCTGCTACAGTCTGTGGGCAGGGCCATGTGGGCTGTGGGTCTGGGGCCTGGCCAATCGCTCCCCCATACCCTGTCCAAGAAATGGAGGTCTTTTTTATTCCTTCTACAGGGAAATTTCAGAAGTAGAATAGGATCAATTTATTTGTTTTGTTTTGTTTTTTAATTTGTTTAGCTTTGCTTTGCTGGAGTGTTTTAAAGCTGAATCTCAGACATCATTATGTCATTTTACTTATAAATACTTCAGAAGGTGTCTCAATTGATGAGGGTGTTTTTCCCTTGGTATAATCACCCTGCCATTATCACATCTAACCAAATTAACAATACAGTTGACTCTCATATCTGTGTGTTCTGTATCACATATTCAACCAAGCAAGTGTTGGAAATATTTGTAGAAAAACAATTACACCTGTCTGAACATGTACAGGCTTTGTTTCTTGTCATCACTCTCTAAACCATACAGTATAACAGCTATTTACTTCGTACGAGGTATTGTAAGTAACTAAGGGATGATTTGAAGTATGTGGGAGGATGCAAATAGTTTATTGGCAAATAATGTGCTATTTTATACAAGGGAGTTCAGCATCCAAGGATTTTGGTCTCTGCAGGAGGTCCTGAAACTAATTCCCCTTTGAACTGAGGGATGACTGTAATTCCTTTATATCACCAATATTTTTAGTCTGTATTGGCCAAAAACTATCCTTTAGGAGTAGGATTGTTCAAGCTAGGATTCAAACAAGAGGAGAGATGGGTTTTGTGTGTGTGTGTGTGTGGAGGGGTGGTACCAGGGATTGAACTTGGGACCTTGCGCTTGTGACGCAGGTGGCGGAACCACTGAGCTAAATCCCCGGCCTTCTACATGTTGCACGTGGCTGTTGTTGGAAAGGGAGTCCTTGTTGCACTGAACTCTGGGGAGAGCTTCCCTTTGTCCTCCCACAGCTCCTTTCCCTGCGCCCCCAGGTTGGCCTCCCTGGCAGCTGCCTTTTCTGTGGACCAGTGCCCTGAAGCTGGAGACTGCAGCCAGGAGAGCACCTGGGAGGCCTGAAGATGTGAGCGGCTGTCCCAGAGGTGCTGGGCGGGTGGATTCAGTGTGATGGGCCAGCCGTGCTCATGCTTGTGCCCTGCTGTATGCCATTGCCCATCTGCAGGGGAACCAGTGCCTGTCTGTGGGCCTCAGCTGGCTGGTAGCCATCAGATCCTTGTGTCCCTAGGAGGTTAGAGCTCAGAGAGGGGTGGGGTGGGAAGGTGGGACCTATTTTACCAGGGTAAAATAGAGGCAGAGATGTGAGACCTAGAGATGGAGGAGCCTGTGCCTGAAGGACAGGTGGAGCAGAGTGCCACCCCCACAGGTGATGGGAAGATGGTTGTTCATGAACATCGTCATGTCTTGGGGTGTCCCTGGCCTGACCAAGGAGGGGATACCTCTGCTCGGACCTCGGGCGCATTGCAGCCTGAGGTAGGCTGACTCTCTGCCTTGAGCTCTCTCACCCTGGACACACCTCCCTGTCACTGCTGCGTCACTCTGTGGTGTACTCTGCATCTGTGTCCACGAGAGCCTAGAATCTTCTCAGGGGCCACACGTCATCCATCTGGCCAGTGACTAACCCACAGCTGGTAGGTTCCATGAATGGACGGAAGGGAGAAGAAAGGGTCTTGAACTATTTTTTTCTGGCCCCCCTGGGGATTTCAGAATTGTTCTCTGAACTGATTGGGAATAAAAGTCTTCTAAAGCGTGTGGTATTGGCTGCCCAGGGAGCATAGCCCTTTAACACAGGCTGGCCTGCTGCCTGGGAAGGTCAGAACGGCCAGACTGCTGTGCAGACCATGGGCTCACAGGTTAAAAGGAAGCAAGCTGCTCTTTTGTGTGTGTTGGTGGCACTCTGCACACGTGGCACTTGTCCCTGAGACCTGTTGGACCTTCTCTGGGGAATGTCCAGCTCTAGCCTCATAGAGGGACCAGGCAAGAAGGGCCAGGAGCCTTGCAAGTCAGAGTGGGGCACAGGGACACCGCCAAGACCCTGTGCTCAGATTCAGAGATGTTGGCCAGGAGACCTGTTTCTAAGCCTAGCCTTTTATTATTATTATTGATTATCAAAGATTTGTTATATAATCTCGAGAGCGTGTTAAAAGAATAAGCTAGCTGATGACATTTATGAAGACACCTCCTGCTCCATGCTGTGCCTGTGAGCAAGGTTTGAGAGGAAATGAAAATCATTTTCTAAAATTGAGGTGTAGTAAATTGTGTTAAACCAATAAGACATTAATGTTTGGGTAAATCGGGCTCTAACAGCATCTGACTGCAGGCCCAATCAGGCAGTTCGTTTTACCGCCTCATATTATTTAATGTTAGTGGCGTAACCGGCTTGTAGCTGGCTGGCATGGGGCTGGCAGCTGAATCAATTACCTGCAAACACTAATTTAGAGCATGCTCAATTGGCTGTGTAAGCAGGCCCTAGTTCACGTTTGCCACAAGGAGATTAATAACTTGATGTGTTTGACAGCCTGGGACCTTAATTGAAATTATGCTCTCTCTCTCCAAGCTGTGAAGGAGGCACTCTGGGCCCTTTCCTAGTGGCTTGGATTGGGGTGGAGAGTCATGCAAGCCGTTGGAAAGACTGAAGGTCTGTGAGGTGTGGTAGGGTCATTGTGGCCTCATCTTCCTCCCCTGGCAAACATGTGACCCTGTCTCAGTCCTGAGACAAGGCCTGGGTTTTTTATGGACTCTCTGTCACAGCAACAGCCCATAATAGTAGCTTCCTGTTTCCTTTCAGTCAGTCCTTTGTTAATGAAGAACTTTTCCAGCTGTGCTGCTTTTTTTTTTTATTAAAGGTCTTTCTGCGTTTTCCTGCCCTTTGGGCAGATGGAGTGAGTCACAATTCTGTGTCTTCAGTATCCGTGTTGAGTCTAAATGGGAGGGGGGCGGGTAGGGACAGGCGCACACACCACATATACCACACCACACACACCACACATACACAGCATATATCCACCACACACACACAACATACCGTCATCACACATACACTCTATTCCCACTACACTCCGTACTACGTACACACACCACCCCTTGCACACCCATATGCCTGCCACACACACGCTACACACACCATACTGCCCGCACACCAGCACACAAACACCACACCATATCCCTGTACATACTACACCCGCCACACTTCCCATACCACACACATCTACAAACACCAAGTACCGCACACTCACCATACACACCACACACGCAGAGTATGCCACATATACCCATGCGCATGCTGTGCCCTCACATCTTTGTACACACGCACACCACACGCACCCCTAGAAAACCACCGTCCAGCCCCACACATGGGTTTTCCATCCAAGCCAGGAAATAGTCTCAGGTGGCTGATGTGGTTCACGCAGGGCAGGTTGCAAAACCCTTGTCATGCTCTCTGGTCTGGAACCAGTTTCTTTCTTTCTTTTCTTTTTTAGAACCAGAGACTGTAGCTCCAGTAAGGAGTCAGAGGTAGAGTCTGTAGACAAGCACACAGCACTTGCTGCACTCCCTGCAGGGGCAGCGCTGCAGGACACAGGCAGGCCCAGCAGATGGGTCCTGTGGACCCTGAGCGCCCCTCCCCCAGCAGGCTCCCCCCGCACCCCGGAGCCAGGCACTGGCCCCTCCGTCATGTCTCCTGCTCCCTGGAGACCATGAGCCTGCCCAGATCAGTGCCTTCCTCTTGTCTGTCCTTTCCTCTTGGCATACTGCTGTCATCTCTGAGGAGCCATCTCTTCGTGCTCACACTGCCCTGCTCTGTTCAGTCCTCCTGCTAGGCACATGATCAGACCTGGCCCTGTGTGTCTCTAGCCATAGCCAGGACATCCACGTTTTGGTGGTGGCGGTGGATGTCACCAGGAGGTTTCTGTTCTCTTTCCAGGAGGTTCTGGAGATGCACAGTTTCTGAATTTCTGGATGGCTGGGCACAGTCTGGTCTAATCTGGTTTCATTAAGACTGGGTATCAGTGGACCATCCTCAGTTTTCCCACCCCCATAAAAATTGCTGGACTTTTGATGGGCCCTGGGGGAGAATAAATGTACTGTAAGAATAGATGTACTGGGTCATTCTCCATGAGTCTTGTCACAGTCCCTGGCCAGGGCTCTGCACCATCCATGGCACGTGCAGGATCTCTCCATGGGCCAACTTGAGGGGTGAGAACATGACATAGCTGATTCGAAAAAGATAGCCCACTGAGACTCTACATGTGGGTGTAGAAAAATCTTCTCTTCACCTTGATGGCTTGATACGGGGTTCCTGCCAGCATTTCCTTGGCAGCCCACCACAAGAGGGCACAGGAAACCCCTTTCAGTTTGACATCCAGAAAGGCAGCCTCTTGAGTCTTGTACCCTGGCTGCCCATACCACTGGGCATTTGACCCTTTCCAAGAGCCCTGGCTATCGTGGGTGGAGAAGTCCTCAGAGCTCAGGCAGGCTTTATTCCATGCTGGCAGAGCAGGTCCCACACATCCATCCACTGTGCTCTGGCATCAGGATCTAATTATAAAGTTCCACATATCACTCTAGTGGTTTTGTCTATTTATAGGATGCTGGGAAATATTCTGGAAAACCAACTAGGGATGCCCAGGGGCAGTCATGGTGGTAATAAGTCAAGATGGCTACCATTATGTCAAGCTAAATCCCTATGTAAGAAGAATATATTCTGCCTAACTGATAAATGGACATATTTAAGGTGCAAACTAGCCTGGGGTCCAGCTAAAAAGGTAGACAAAGAACCAGAGAGAAGGCTGTCTGCAAATGGGTAGCCTGGTTAATACAGGCCCAATTATGGCTTTGGGGGCAAAGCCAACTGAAGTAGACATTGTCTTTTCAATACTGGAAGAGTTGCCCCTTGAGAACCAAATTAAACAACAGTGTGCCAGCAAGCACCTTTATAGATTTTCCTCTAGTACTTCATCACTAACCAGGTTCTGTTGATTTTAGATAAATATTTATCATGATTTTAAGGAAGTAGTGTTTTCTTCCTGCCTTGCTAGAGATTTTATCGGGAAAAGATGTTTAGTTTTATCAGCTGCCTTTTTAGCACCTCCCTTGGCTTTGTGTGTGTGTAGCAATTAATATACTTTTTATTTGAGAACAATTTTGGATCACAGAAAAGTTAAAGGAATGTAAGAGTTACACATATCCTCCATCCATCTTTCCCCGTTGTTAATATTATTATGGAACTCATGAACAGCCTTGGTACATTGTTACCTAACACATACTTATTCCAGTTTCCTTAGCTTTTACCCAGTGTCCTTTTTCTGTTCCAGAATCCCATCCAGGAGACCATAATAAATCTAGTTGTTGTGCCACCTTGGGCTTCTTTGGGCTGTGAGTTTCTCAGACTTTCCTTTGATAACTTTGATGTTTTTGAGGAGTCTTGCTTGGGTAGTTTGAAGTATATTTTTTGATTTCAGTTTTTCTCATGGTTAGGCTGGAGCTTTGGGTGATTAGGAAAAAGATCACAGAGGTAGAGTACTACCGCCATCACAGCATATCAAGGCCATGTTCTGTCAGCATAACGTGTCTCTGTTGATGTTGACCTTGACCACCTGGCTGAAGTAGCGTTTATCTGGTTTCTCCACTGTTGTAACTGTTCCCTCCTTTCACTCATACTGTACTTTCTGGAAGGAAGTCACTGTGCATGCCCTACATGTCAGAAGTGGGGAATTATGTTCCTTGCCTTTGAGGGGAGTATCTACATATGTTGTTTATAATTCTTTTATACAGAAGATGTTTCTTCTTAACCATTTTTATCAGTTCAACTTTTTTTACTTATACCTATACAAATTCATGGATATTTATTTTATGCTTTGGGTTACAGTCCAATCTTGTGCTACTTATTTTGTTGCCCAAATCATTCTAACTTTGAGCATTTCATTTGGCTCCCATGTCCCTTTAATATACCCCCATCATTTTGCTTCCTGAGCACTTCCCTCCTTTCTGGCACTGCAAAGTACTCCCAGGTTCACCTTGCATTTTCCATACTCAAACCCTAGAGGCAGCCATTTCTTCGAGGAGCCT